TTGGGGGAGGAGAGGGGCATGAATTTCTGGAAGCTAGGAACTGTCCAGGTGTCATTTCTTACTTTTTAGGATAAACCCATGACGTCGTTTGAATTTCTTAACAATTGGGTTACCCCCAGGTTAATTTCAAGCAGATTCTTCTTGCAGCATTTATTACATGTACGGTGAAGTATACATTGCTACTCATTGTTTTTGGATTTTACGATGGAAATGCGAATCTCTCTAAAATATCTCTCTGAACGAATGTATAGCATTCTGTCTTTGTTGGCATTTCAAAAACATTAGATGTAATCAGGAAATGCGCTTGTACAGAATACTTATTGTTGAAAATTCTATTTTTCTTATTCATCAAACTTTTATATTTTATTCGGTGAGAAATTAGAAACTATGAAGAAATAGCAAGTACCATTTGTTTCCAACTGCCAGAGTACTTCCACAAGTGGCATTGCCCTTGCATCATGTCGTTACGCCCACTCTCGAAATATGACAGATGTTGAACTGTCACTATTACGTCGTTGAAGTATGAGCTGTTTGCCGACACGGCTTCATTGTCCGGCAAGTACTGCAAAATAAATGTTTATTTTGGAACTAGAGGGTTTTCGTTTGGATTACTGCACCAAATATGTTGCAAAACCCTTTTACGACGCAAAATTGTTAGCTCCTTTTACTTATATGAGCTAAGTTATCCTATTTGTCTTCTTTCAAAGATCATTGTTCATTTCTTATTTGTTGTTATTACTTTATTTAATAGTTGTCTCGGAATCTGCCACCGCAGTACTAGATGAACTCGTATTCAGTTTGCAGTTTATACGCGTATGACCAGTTTTTCAAATAAATAGCATATGAGCCGTTCTTCAAAGAATAGATTACTTTACGAAGACATTTTCCAGTATTTTTGTAAATAAATCCAAAATGATTTTAGGGAGTCACATGAGGAGAAAAAATTGATTAATAGACGCTAACACCAACTCGAATTAATTTCTATAAAGAAACATAATTGGATTTAATCAAGAACTGTCTTTAAACATAAAATATTTTCGTATTCATTTTTTTACTTCATGTGCAATAAGACAATTGCAATCTACTGCATACATGAAATAGCTTATTTTTAATTTTCATTATTAACAGAACTTCCAAGATAGAAGCAGTCACACGCTTTATCTCTAGGTCATTTTATAGATAAAATAAAACAAACCGATTCGTATACATCCCTGGTCATGAATGCAATATAAAACACAAGAAGGAACCATAAATAACCAAATAATGACATGAATAGCCTGAAAAGATAGAAATTTAGACAAATAGGAAAAAAGGCGAAAGGGGAAGAATGAAAGCAGGTTTTTATCTGACCAAATACAGGAAAAAAAGCCTACCCTTTTAGATTCACATCATCTTAGTCACACTGGTGTTTCCACACATTGTTCTAATAAGAAACCAACC